TTTCAATGTTTCATTTGGATAATGTTCGATCCTATCTATCGTTTGTTTCCTATAACTTTGCTTTTATATATATTTTTCGCTAGAGTTGATCGTATTTGAAATGTTTTAGTGTTTCCAGACTTTTTGAAGACCCTGTATGTATAAATTAATGAATGATTTTCTAAATTAAAATGATTTTCTAAATCATTTATTGAATTGGATTGAAAAAAGGCAAAGAGAGAATTTTTATTTAGTTCGGATTTTTATTTGTACGAATAATTGGTTAAAAGCAAATTGCTTAGAGATAAAGTTCGGATTTTTTTTTACAATAAATAAATTCTTGTTGTAGCTGTTGTAAATGGATACATACGATTGTGAATCCCGTTCATGTTTTGCTAGTCATCGACGTACAGAACGATTTTATCGATGGCACGCTGGCACTTCGAAAATGTGGCCTTGGGCAAGAGGGGTTGGAAGTGGTGGAACCGATAAATCGGCTTTTGAAGGAGGGTAACTGGGACAAAGTGATATATACACAGGATTGGCATCCCGAGAATCACATCAGCTTCTTTGAAAATCTGGCGATGCGCAAACTTCATCCGAAATCTAAGGTATTTAAACATCCTGCCTAATAATAAAAATAATTCCATAAAATGATTCAAGAAAATAAAATAGTTCAATAAAATAATTTGAATAAATAAATAAAAAAATAAATTTAATATTAACATTCTAATCTTATTCTTTTTTTTTATATTATCCATTTTGCTACTTTTTTATATATCATAAGTTTATGCAAAACTAGTTTTAGCTATCTATATATGTACAGTGAATACAAAAAGTATTCATACAGAGAAAATATTAAAAAAAAAAATTTTATTTTCAAAAAGTAAATATTATCCAGCGAGAAATGAATCATCAAATCGATGTCGAATCGATATAAATCCGATAATTTTAACACCAATTTGACGTCGATTCGATGTTTAATTAACGATCATTTCTTGTTGGATAATTAACAATTTATTCAAAAAGAATAAAATAGACTGTATGTTTCTTAAAATTATATATACCAAAATGATTGATATATTAATTATACCAAATATATCCGAAAAAAAGCGAAAATTAAAAATTGTATTGTTTGAATATTCAAAAAGTATTCGGACGAGAAATTTAGCTTCTAAAATCAGGAGTACGTGCTAAGCTCGTTTATTTATATTAGAACAAAATGTATTTATTGTATAAAATTGCCAATTAATGTTTATTTTCTACAAATAAGGCTTTTTTTTATAACAAATTTTCTTGTGCGAATACTTTTTGCTCTTACTATGTATAATATAAAATGGAAATGTCTAAAAAATTCTTGAACATGTCCTCTTTAGATAACTTTTTTATTTTTGTGTCGGTAACACATTTGAATTTTTGATGTTTTTTTTTTATGAATTAAAATAATAAATTTTATCCGAGGTAGATTTAGCCTGTAATTCTATAATCCAAAATAAATGTATATTAAGATAATCCTACAATGTGAAATAGATCACTAAGGAAATGGCGAAACCCTTCGACACCGTTGTTTTTTTGCAACCTCATATAACGCAAGCACTTTGGCCAAGACACTGTGTTAAGAACACTTGGGGCGCTGAACTGCATAAAGATCTGCTAATATTGCCTTCTTCCGAACGGGTAATAGCTCAATTTTATATAAAAGGAATAGAGAGCTATGTCATATATATATACATATAAAGATTCTCTAATTAGGCTAATTCTTTAAAACTGCATAGTAATTGATATCACATATAAAGTAATTGTATAGACGTCTTTATCATGTAAATCTCCGGCAGTTATTTCTTTCTTCCATATTTACAAATTATTTAAGAAGGCATGAATTCCTACAGTTTTTTAATCTATCTATTTATAAATTATCTTATTTTTGAAATTATGTACATCTGATATTAAGAAATCTATACCCTACTTAATTAATCGGAATATTCTTCCCTTTTTATACTTAAGGTATATAAGGGTCAGGATCCAGACAAAGAATCATATTCAGCATTTGCGGAAAAAGATGCGAAAGGCCTCTCAGAACTTGAAAAAATATTGTCGACCGTTGGAGTCACGCTCTTATATGCCTGCGGTCTCACCTATGATATATGCGTAAAGGAGACGTGTTTGGATGGTTTGCGATTGGGTTATCCTGTAGCTGTGATTAATGATTGCTGCCGTAGTGTAAAACCCGATGATACAACGACTAAATCATATATTGAAAATGGCGCACTAGTGGCATGTTCTGACCGCATACTGTCCTTAGTGAATGAAGGCAAGCATAGTCTAGTGATGGCGCATCACGCCGCGAAGATTACAAGTTAAACAAAACCTATTCTTAGGTTCATTAAGTAATCACAATTATGTAAAAATATTTCTTGAAAGATAACGACTATTTTTTGTCAAATCTAACAAAATCTAAAGTTACACTTAAAATAGAACAGAGAGAAAAACGTAAAAATTATTTTGTTAATTTTTATTTCTTTTTATCTCTGTTATCAGTTATTAATTCTATAATTATTGAGAAAATTTTATCTAATTCTTATCTAAATATTTCAATTTTTACGAGGATAATTACAAAGCATAAGATGAATTTGTTTTTATTAATTTTTACATACAATGATACATTATACTAGCAAGTACTATGCTGAAATGAAAATATATATAAGTGGAAATTTAAAATTATAAACCTTTAATTTATGGTTTAATATATTATACATTACATCAAATATTATTAATATTCTTTCATAACGATGAATATACTTACAAAAGATAATATAATTTACTGAAATGTCAATTTATTTAAATATACGCAAAATTAGATACGCATACGTTATCAAGAAGAACCTATAAATATATTGTATTTTTTATTAAAAAAGTAATTATACTTTATATAAAAAAATTTTAAATTAAATTACTAAACAGATATACTTATAAATGTTTCGAAATAAATATAATTCCTCGTGTTTGATTTGTTATTTTCATCCATTAAAATGCGCCTAATCACTTTTATCAATTAATAATCGTGCTGTCCTTTCGATCCTGTTTGCTGATTCGTCTTCGACCGTCAATTCGCAAATATATCTTTGCCTTGAGCTGCAATCTTCACCTCTGTATGAATAAAGTTTCGATGATGCGTTGAAAGTTAACTTCAAGCACCTACAATTTAAAATAATTTATAATTCAAATATTTAGTGTTGAGAATTAATTGTCGTGTTAAGTAAAGACTTTAATATATGTACGCTATTGATATTCTATTTTATCTGTGTAAAAATGTTCTATACCAACCTGCCATCACCAATGACGGTCTGTTTAGTGTCTTGTTGAACCGGTCTAGCACTGTTGGCCCAAATCCATAAAAGCCCTGGATTTAAGCCACCTGTCCAGAAATTATTGCCCTTAAATTTGGAATTTGACATTATACCCGCGATTACATCTTGGTTCTCTTCGACCGTGTTGAATTCGACCAAATGTCCACCCATACCACGGCAAAGACTACCCGATGATTTCCAATCGAAATCACGATTACTGAAGTGATAGCAATTTTTGCCCATTCTGGTGTAATTAGTAGGACAAGGTTCTAAAAAAAGCGATGACGTAATAAACGATACAGATTAAAGCTATATTAAGCTCCTCAGTGAGAAATGACAATGGAATCGACATTGAATCGACATCGAAGTCATCAAATTGACATTGAATCGACGTCGATTCGACATCTATTCCATTGTCATTTCTCACTGGTTGTGAATAACAAATTTGTCTTTCTTTCTTACAACAATTAATTTCTTTTAAACGTTATAAAAAGAAGAATATATATATCTTAATTATCATTACATATATTATGTATCATATATTATATTGAGAGAGAGAGAGAAATGATTTTTTAAATCGATTTTTTTATATTAAAGAAATTTTACCTTTCATTTTATTATTTCCAGCAATAACGTAGTACAATAATTCTTCTGCTCTTCTTACTCTTTTTTCTAGATAGTCTACTCTATACACCAATTTTTCAATAGCACCTGTAAATTTCCATTTAAGATTCCTAAATCTCATTCTTTTAATTAAAAAATTTGTTTTTATTACTTCATTTTTAATTATTTTTTTTTATTATAAAAATTTTTTCTTTAATTATGTAATTGTTGCAATTATTTATAAGTTATATTAAAAATTTAAATTATTAAATTAATTTCCTTTTTTTTTAAATTTTTTTAAATATCTTATAAATCATACTAAGTAGGTAAAGATCAGTTTCAGAAACGTCTCTTTTATTTGATGTGGAGATTTTAGATACTGTCAAAATCTTATCATCAATCTTCATCACTCGTGCGGCACGAGAATTGTTGAATTGGTGCCTTGGAAGAGTAGTCCAATTTTCGAGAATTTCTGTCCATGGACCATGATTCACCATAACAGCCGTTAAATTCGCTGAGGATGATGGCACAACAAATAAAATTATATTGAATGTATTGAAAGATCTAATCGCATAATCGGATTAAACTTGTATGTCTTATTGTACTTTTCATAATTTAATATTGTAATTTAATAACAAAAATATAAATAGTGTAACAGTTTGATTAATAATAATAATGACATCACAAAAAGATAAATTATTAAAATATTATACACTTTTTGTGTATATTTTTGTCATTATTGTTAATTATTTTTATTTATAAGTAAATAATTATAATGACAACTTTAATTTTATTTTTAATTTTTTAATATAAATTATTAAAATATTGTATTTGTAAATCATAATACGTACCAGATACCAAATTGACTATTGCTATTAACGTGACAAGTATAATTGAAGAATATAATTGCACAGCTATCTTTCTCATTGTTATGATTTTGAGACCAAAGAAAAAATATGCAGATGAGATATTGGATACAGAAATTGAAAGGTCGGCGTTCACCTTCCACGAAGTGTAAAGTAAACGAAATAAAGATGCTCCGTTTTTCGCTTGAATCAATGTTTATGTATCTGACTTTCTCCTGGAAAGTTTACAGCAGCATGTTGAAATAGGAAATACCCGGATGTAAGCAAATATATTGCAAAATTTCATTGTACACTCATATGTGATGTATTTAACGACGTAATATTAAAAAGAAGTAATTTTTAGATAAGGAGAATATTTAAGAATATAAGTATTTGCTTTTAACAAAATTTGAATATTATTATTATTGTATTAGACAAGTAAAAAACAAAGTAATTTAAAATATTATAGAAACAAATTCTTCCATTTACAACTAAAATTACGATAATTTACAGAGAGAAGCGTTGTTCTTTATGTTTGATTCCTGTCTGTGTCCTCATTATTTGATTCTAATTAATTCTTATTATTAAAGCTACTGATTTACAAAAATAATAATATAATATTTTATTAGCATAACATTTTAGATAAATTTATGCATGTAAATATTTTATGATATATATTTAGAGAAACATTTTCTTTTTAGAAACATTTACGTCGTATATGTATATTTCGGTATGTATATTTTGTTGCTTTTGTAATAGTAATTGTATAATGCATGAAATTAAGGAAGTTGGTACATAATGAATGCCGGAAACGGTAAAGAATTGGAATGTCATAGAATTCTCTTTTATCAACCTCATTTACAGAATTGACTGGTAACATTTAACCTTGAAATTCTAATGATGTATATACGTTAAAAATTATGGACTTACTATTACATTGCTGTCATATCCAGTATATCGTTTCTTTTAATTAAATATACAGAAATTATATAAATACTGTAAATTGAAAGAAATTAAAGCAAAATAATAAATTCGATATATTAAAACACGCGCGCGAATAATTATATTCTAATATAATTTAATTTATATATTATGATTTAAATTAACGTGTAGATTAAAATTTAATAAGCTAATTATATCTTTTTATTTTTTTACAAAAGCAATATGAAATTTATATGTTGAAAATGTAAATACCTTAACTTCTCACAAGATATTTTCTTCTTGGTACCACTCGTATATTCCACACCCAATCATACGTCACGGAAGACTGAGAAGAAAAGATTCGAGGACGATGTCGTAGACCTCTCTAGGTCACTTTCTCCCCACCTTAGAAGTCAAGTCACTTTCTTCGGCAAGTCTACCTCAGATGGGATTTGATAAGTTACTGATTATAATAACAGTTTTACTAGATAGCAAAGGAATATATAAATTTTATAGCAGTATCACGAGAATATTGATGAAGAATATAAGAATAATTTGTCATATTTATTTTAACATTTCTTTAATAATAGAGATGGTAATAAATGTAAAATTTCTATAATAATAGATTAATCATTAAAATTTGTGTAAGCCTTTTAGATATGAAAAGTTCAAAAAATTACGAAAGTCTAAAAGGCTTACACTATTTTTCTTGATTATTGCAGAAATTGATTCTCTTATGTTAGAAAAAATAATTAAAGAATGCTTATAGCAAAGAAAGAAAATGTGAAAGACAAGTCCAAGTAGAAATTTTATTTAAAAAAAATATATTTTTATGGTATTTTTATCCTGAAAAAATATATTGTTTTTCTAGCAATTTTATGCCTAATATTGTTATTTTTAACGAAAGTTGCGTTTTCATGAATTTCAATTCCGCAAATGTTCGTTCATTTATTCGTTGTGTAATTACTCGCGAAGATCAACCTACTGACACGGTTTCCTCGGTACATTCGAATATCGGTGGTTTCAACAAAGTGCAAACACGGAAACTTCATCTACCTCTTAATGACAGAAGCGTGCGATCAGCTATTATACTTTCTCGCATTATACTTTCTGATAATATGATCATGTAACTTATAATTTATGTTTATATGCATTAAACTTTCATCCTTGTGGCGTGTATTAAGCTTGAATGTTTTCTTGAATGTAATTTTATCAAAATGAAATATTAGCGATTTAGAAATCTGTAATAAAACTTAAAATAATAAGCATTAAAATAATGTTTACGTGCGAAAGTCAAATTATTGGTTTAATTATTGATTTTATTATTGATTTTATTAACAAAGCAATTAAAAGTATGCCGAAACTATACAATCGTAATATTTTTTGTACATTAATAATATAATTATAAAAAATATTTTATTATTTTTTCTTTTTACGTGTTAATAATTTACAAGTTTCTCAAACTTAGATTTACAGGAATGTCAGACTTATCATATTTCAATTCGCAATTTTTTTTTCTTCCTGTTTTAACGTTAAAATTTTTTTATATCATATGTATAATAACATTTTCCTATTGTTCAATTTCTAGCTATTTTTAGTGATTACTTTATAAAAATATCAGAGATCGATGTCGCATCACGCAAATAATGGACGTAATCTATTCAGGATAATGCGAATTGATGCTATGCTGCGCAGATAGCACAG